GGTAGAGAGAGAGAGGAGAGAGGAGAGAGAGACAGAGAGACAGAGAGCGAGAGAGAATGTGTGAACTATTCTGGTGTGATATCTAGAATTCTAGGGCAGAGCCAGCTCTTCCGAGCTATATTTTGACGGGGATCCCCCTCCTCCTTCTGTTATCTTTTTGCCCTCCATTTTACAGCCATTTTCAAGGAAGGCGAGGAGGGGGATACCCCCATCTTCATTTCTCAGCCCCTTTGGGTCCGATTGCACCGTTCGGAGGAAAGTAACGGACGATTGATCTAGAGGGAAAGGGAAGGGCCAGACGGGATTCCCCGCAAAAAACGGATAAATGAGGGTGGGGTGGGTAATTTATTTGGGGCGTCTCGACATGGGGGATGGTATTTTTGGGACTTTTGCGGTAAAAAAAGGGCAGCTAAATGTCTGGAAAGTCATGGAAGAATTAGGATTGGCCCAAAAAAGCGAACTTTTAGCCAAATTAACCTCGATATTCCCCAAAAAAAATTCTGCTGAAGCGCGCAGTAAAAACATAATTTATCCCATTTATCCGTTTTTAAAGGGATTCACAAGGCTAGATCTTAAATCTAAAGCCATAGAAATTTGCCCAGCGGGCAAAATCAAAAATCCCCCCCCTAAAAATAGGGAAACCCACCCAAAAAAAACCCTTTTTGCCCCATTCCGGGTGGCATCCCCTCTAAAAAGTGTCCTATGGATGGGAAGACTTTCTAAAGACAGGATGTCTTTTGAAGGGGGTAGAAGGAGGGACATCGGCTGGTAGACTAATGGCCTTTGTGGATGGATGGCAGAGAGAGAGAGAGACAGAGAGAAAGAGAGAGAGAGGGAGAGAGAGAGAGATCGGGGCCAAGGGCTGGTCATAGAATGTTGTGGAATGGTTCGGTGTCCCTTTTATACAGTCCTCCTCCCCGATGTGATGACTCAATTCATCGTCTTGGCCCCGCCCTATTAGACACCATTTTTTCCTAAATGAAGCCACGCCCCTTTTAAAGGAACATGAAAGGCCAAGTTGACCGAATTAAGGGTTAGACAACACATTAATATTATCTGGGGGCGCATTAATGGGCTGTTCTAGCGGGTCCGGAAAATGAAAATGTCACAATTTCAGCTAGAAACCTCAATTTTAGCGTTTTAAAGGGCCTCCTGTAAAGGCAAAGTTTTTGAGACACGTAGGCTAAAATTCACTACGAACCTCGGAATATTCGCAAGAAGCAAAAATTCTATTTTTTTGCCTACTTTTCAGCGATTTGTTTGGAACTACGATCGGCTCTGGTCAACAGATCGTTCGTCCTCGCGCAAAGCCCATTCCGAGCACGGCGACGAAGCCACAAATGGGGGCTTCATCCTGCCGACAGAAAGGATCATTACCGGATGGTGAGAGAGAGAGAGAGAGAGAGAGAGAGAGAGAGAGAGAGAGAGGACCCGAAAGGGTCATTTCCGCGAATTGGCCAATCAACACTACGATCGGGTCCCTTTTGACAAGTGCGGCAACATTTGAGGGAGTTAGGAACAGCTTTCGTAAATGGTTTCTTTGTTTCGGCGTTTTTTAACAAACAGTTGAAGCTGTGAAAATGGCCTTTTAAGAAATTCACTGTCCCTTTAAAGAAACCGCGTCCTAAACCATCCTGGCCCACTGTTTTCCTGCTTTCCAATCTTTAATCGAATTCTGACGAAAAATCTCTACCAATTCGAAGTCGATGATGATTGGGATAAAAGGGCAAAGCCTTGAATGTTACACTACTCCGAATCGGACGCCCCGATGCTATTCCAATGTTGATATCTGATCGAAAAGGGTAGATGAGGGCTGTGATAGTCTGTTTGGTTACTCAGAAGACTATTTTCGTTGAAATGACTAATCCAAATGGGCTTTTGGTGTCTAACTTTAAAGATAGCAAAAATGATTCAGGAGAACGGCCCTGAAGCCCTATATCGTGTAAACCAAGGTAACCTAGCAGAGATTCTTGACGGAAATGGGGACAGATTAGCAAAGTCCATGGCGGAAAAGGACGAGCCGGTATGGCTGGAAAAGCTTGCAAGAACCGTTGAGGAAAAACGGTGGCAAACTAGCAGAGATTCTTTGCGGAGACCTTTATTCTCTGCTATTTTTCTGGTTTGTCCTAGTTTTTTTTAGTTCTGGGCACGTTTCCAAGAACAGTTGTTTTCCAGAATTTCCGCAAAATTAGCGCCAAATAAACATGTTGTCGAAATGCGGATAGCACAGGTGCGGAATACAAGCAAGGAAAAGAACTGTATTCCAGGGAATCCGGGGCCAAAATGCGAGCGCAGAATTCTGATGCAATTGTGGGGGCAGAAGCTGACGGGCCGAATGAATGACGGAGGGCTTCATCGGCCATTTCTCGGGGAATCCCAGTTAAGGAAGGGATTAGTTTGCCGCTTTCTGGATGTAAAAAACTATAGAAATATTTAAAATCAGCATATAAAATTTAAGAAACGCTGTTTTCAAGTAGCACATAGACAATTTACGATTTTCTACAGTTTTTTTGCGAAGTTTTGGTCTAAAAAATCGTCATAAATGGTGTTTTAAATCTAATTTTATGTTCAATCGATAGAAATAGCCACAATAGGTAGTATATGTAGCCTGGAAATGGGCAATAATAGCTAGATATACAGGAGGGGAGGGGGAGACACATTGCCTCGATGTTGACACAGCTTCATATCATTCAACACGGAGGGGGTATAGAGAGGGAGGGATGGTTACAATACCTGGGGGATTTTTGTGGTGGTTTCCTTTGGTTGTGGGGTTGTAGTGGGGGGTGGGTTCCCGGTCTGTCTTGGGGTGGTTGGTGGGTCTTGGGGTGGGTTTTGTTTTGTTTTTCTTGTTTCGTGATGCCCTCCAAATACAGGGATTTTAGAAAAAATTAGCTGTAAATATGAAAATGAACAAAACCGGTAAGTTTTTTTTGTAAAAATCATTTTGAAGCATCGAAATTCTGTTTTTACACTTTTTCTAGGCTGTATCCATAGAAAAAGGCCAGGGTTCAGGCGTTCAAGCGCATTATTGCTGCTCGAAATGCATGGAGCCCGCTAAAACAGAAAAACGGGCCTAGTGCTCCCGCAAAATCGTGTTAGGCCCAAAAACGATCCGAAAACCATTAGTTTTTGCCTTTTTCCTCCGCTCGCTCCTCGCTCGGGGGCCGACTATAAAACGTGGGAATTCGGGGCTAGCGTGTGAATTTTCCATATTTTGTAGGAGATTGAGAGATAGAGAGAGAGGAGAGAGAGAAGAGAGGGAGAGAGAGAGAGAGAGAGAGAGAGAGAGAGAGAGAGAGGGAGAGAACGACGTGTCGCTAGTCTAATTCCGGGAAGTATACAACTATAAACGGAGTGAAGAGATGGGGCTTTGGGTCAGTCTCCCCCCTCGCACTAGACACCATCATCGCATCGCATCAAAATGCAAATGAGTGGCGGAGGGGAAGAGCGACTAGAATCGAATAGATATGAGAGAAAGTACCGACTAGTATCTGACACAACAAAATATGCAACACTGGCTAACAATTATACTGTTTTTCGGGTTTAATTAAGCTTAAAATGTCCGGAATTTTCGTTTGAAAAATTAGAACAAAAGTCTAGACATTCTTACTTTAATTAAACCTAATTAAATCGAAAAAACTTCAATTTCCCCTTAGAATTTCGTAAATTGCCAGCAATATTGGCCCTGGAAGAAGATTTGAAGGGTGCAGGGGGAAATGAGCCGGCCTGGCTGGCTAGGGGTCAGTGGGGGAGGCTGGCAGAGATTATTGGGGAGAGAGGGACAAGGGTGGAGGGCCACCTGGAGGAGGAGGAGAAGGAGTAAGGAAATGACACTCCTTGTCTCTCTGTCTCTCTCTCTTCTTTTGTGTAAAAAGGCCCTCTCCCCCACCATTCCCTTCCTTCTTATTCCATAGCCACACCAAGTCAGGGTCATCCGAGGGTACCAATAAGATGATAAGGGTAGTGGAGGGCAAAAGTTTGAGGAATGATACGAGGTATATGCAGAGCTCGAGAGAGAGAGAGAGAGAGAGAGAGAGAGAGAGGGAGAGAGAGGGAGTGATAGCGGGTAACGGTACTGTGGCGTTATCCGGGGGTGGGCGGCTATGAATCCACAACGAGTTTTAGTCAGATTTTTATAGTATTTTCGATCAGATTTAGCTAGAACTAGAGTAGAAAACTATGCAAAATACCCACAATCTTTTTCTATTATTTGAATTCTCGAAATATCGGTATTTTTAAAAAGACAGAAAACCCCACTTATATCCTCCCCCAAACCCCTCTTGACCCCCGAAAAACCACCCCACGGCCACGCAAACTTTTGCAAATGACCCGACCCGGTGGAATGAAGAAAATCGGGGGATGCTAGAGATTCCAATCGCCTCGATGAATCCCAACACCTTTCGAAAAAATGGCCCATCAATCTTCTTGGCAATCGATTCGTCGGGGGTTACGTGAAAACGGGGATTTATGGAGGGGGATTTTGGCAGTGAAATACAGTTTGAAATTTGCCGATTTTCGGGTTTCTTTAAGTTCGTAAGGAATTATAAGGAATTTAACGTCTGTTAATATGAATATAACCATTTTGAATTACGCTAGAAAAGGCTGGAAACAACTCTATTAATACGACTAGGTGGTTATTGTTGAGGAGGGATGTTTATGAGGAGAGAGATAAAGAGAGAGAGAGAGAGAGAGAGAGAGAGAGAGAGACAGAAATCGTTGCCTCTCTGTCTTCATAAACACAAATGTTATTGACCACCCTCCCCAAGGGGCGCAAAATGCGGATTTTGACCCCAGAAATTTATTGCATTTTACTCTATTTTTAACAATTTTTCCGGGTTTTTAGACGCTGTTTTCTTCACTACCAGCAATTTATTGGTTACACGTATTTGGGAATAATATATAGAAAAAATGGCTAGAGTGGAGAGAGATGGCACAATGAATGGATAAAGAGATAAATATCTGACAGAGAGAGGGGAGATACAGTACTCTTCCCAGGATTACGGTATCTGTGATAAAAGACGGGCAACGGCCGAATGGAATATATCTGGAGAGGAGATGAAGCACACTCTCGATTCATCATCAACTACGCGGAGGACGGACTGGCGGATCGCGTCGGTTGGCCGCACGAACAGCGCCATTACTCCCTGAAAATTTTGAAAATCGTTGATTTTTCAATTTCGAATAAAATGACATGTGCCGGATTCTTCAAAATTCCATTATTAGCATGTTAAAGTAAATAATTTCCTTGAAACCACGAATCTTAAATTAGTTTTGGTCTTATTGAGTTATTTTAGTTTCAATAAGCTCTATAAAGTTTAAAAATTTACTTTTTTTTAACTATTTTTGCTAGCGAAAAGAGCTGTCACAATCCCTTTAAAATCTGCACAAACCTGTGGATTCTCCTCGTGTACCTTTTTGACCATGGGAATATCAGACATAGTGTCCCCACAGACCAATACTCGTCCCGGGGGCTTCAGACTGTCGCCCTTGATCTCCACAACACTTGCCACCTAAAGATACCACTATTAAAGGGACTGGGACGTCAGGGAATGGTAATCCATAAATCACAAAATCATACCCCATTGGCCTTATTCCATACAGTTCCCGACGAATGGGCCACCACTTCCACTTCTAATTCTGTTGATGGGTCAAAGACAAGGATCTGGAACGTATCGATTTATTAAAGGGATGAGGAAAGTATTTCATTTGCTATGGATTTTCTATGAATTTGGCAAAACCGCGATACGCAACGCACGAGCCGTTAAGGGGTGCTAGCGGCAGGTATCGTGCCGAAAAACCTCCACTTGAGTACCTTTTAATACGCCTACGTACATCCAAATACGAACCTGATTATACGGATCGACACGATGCATCCTCTCCCTCACTTCATCCTGATATCTTTCCGACAAATCAACAGGAACATGGCCACATACTGTCTGCACACCCAGTGTCAGTCTGTCCACCTGGAATTGTTCGATTTCCTCTTGGGATAAGGACAACTACACTACCTTCCTCTGGACACCACTCCCAACCAGGGCAAATTGAGAATAGTCGCCCGATTGAAGGAGGGTTCCCATTTCATCTTTCATTCTCTCGAGGGCATCGATACCCTCATCCGATATTCCCTCATCATGCACAACACGATGACCATTTACCCACCATTCACGACCTGCAAAGAGAGCGATAGGGAAGGGAGAGCTTTGGCATTATCAGGGGGGATGAGGCCAGATCACTATATTTAAAACGGAAAAGCTACCTCAAAAATTTATTTTTGAATTTGTGTAAAGCTTCTAGAATTTTTGTATTTATTTACTTACAGACTAGCCGAAACAGCCAGATTCTACAAAATTAAGAGGTTAGGAGTAAAATATTGCCCCCCCCCCCCGATACTGCGCAAGCTTCAAAAAGTGAGTACCTACCCCAGGATCCGCTGAATAGTAATGGCCCGTCGATGGGAAGTGCTGTCAAATCGAGAATTCCGGGTCCTCTAAAAGCAGAATTTTTCCTAAAAAACTGAAAATATCCTACCGTAATGGACCGGCAGTCAACACGGCGGCCAATCTCGTATAAGTCTTTGCAAAACGGGCCATACAAACCGCCGAGTAGATCGGCTAAAAATTAGTGGATTTCACGATACAAACTACAAAAACGAACGGACCTGCAGATTGGTGGCATATTGGGTACAGTACTCCTTCATCGTCCCGTCCCAATCCGTGATAAACAGCGGTTTTCGGCCCTCTTTTTCTTCGGCTGAACTGCCCACGTATTCCGCCAGGAAACTATAAAGATTTATTTTTGCCTATTATACCGACAGCAATTTATATAGTTTTAGCAAAATGAAAATCAAATATATGGTTTTTCAGGCACAACCAGCCCGCGCTCTAAGGTGGCTAAATGGTAAAGTGCTCGCTTGATAGGCACAAGGCCCTGGTTCAATCCCCGCACCGGGCGAACTTTTTGCTTTTTGGCCAATAGTTCCGGTTTGTCGATTTATTAAAGGGAGCGTGACATTTAGTGCATATTTTCCCCTCGATACCTGCAACATGAAGCCACTTCATCCGCGTATTCGGTTCGTGATAGCGGATGGTATTTGGCCAACACCTCCTCCACGTTCCCCGTGTCGAAATGCCCATTTTTGGTGAGCGCGAGGAGCTCCAGGTCTTTCTAAAAAAACTTGATTATCATCACTTTATTATAATGAACAGTTTTGCTAATTAAAAATCGTTGTAAATCAAGTTTTTTGAGCTCAAATGAAATCGAGCATTTAAAATATGGCTTTTTAAAAGCTAAAAAAGTAATGCCACCCCCTTTTGCCCCCCTTTAAGCAACGATTGCCCTAATATTGCCGCATCCACGATACCTTCAACCCGACAATCTCGTCCTTGATATTCACAGTGAACGTGTCGAATTGGGTGGACATTCTCCTCTGATATCCATCTGTCTCGGCGTCTGTCAACTGCGTCAATGTCTTCTCTAACAGCTGAAAAATACGAGGTATTAGCTTACTTAATTAAAAAAATATAGTCGACTTACTAATTTTAATGCCATAAAACCATAAAGCTTACCTCAACAAATCTGCCCTCCACAGCCACTTCAGCCAGTATCGATTTCACGATATTCCGACGGGCTTCTTGCATCTAAACAAGCCATTTTTTTATGCTAAAATGCATCGAATCTTCTGCCGTACCGTGTACATCATCTGCTTGAAGTGCTCAATATTGCCCAAGCTCGCGTCTGCCGCGTCGATGACCGTCATTCTGAAGGTGGTCAGACGGCTTAGAATTGGCCGCACTAAAATTTCATTTTTTTTACATTACTTCTGAGAAAATTGTGTTTGAAAAAGCGTTAAACATGCACCCGAAAATTAACCCTAACCAGCGAAATTCCAGAAAACTGAAACAAAGGGTGCTTTGGCATCATCGGGGGGGGGACTTACGAGATAGTATTTCTAGTGTTCCTATTTTAAATAGAAAAACTGTTTGCGCAATTATGAGACAAAAACATGAACATTTTTTGTTACAAAAATTCCAAAAATACAGATCTTTCGACGGAAAAGGTAGGTTTTCGAACCAAATTTGAAATTTTTTAGAATTTTAGCTTGAAAATTTTTTATGAAAAACACTATTAAGACACTTTCACAATTTTCACACGTGTCTAGCCATTTTTGAACCAATAGGGAATGGCATACCTATTGATAGGAAAAGGTCAGCCCCCGATAATGCGAAAGAATTAAAACATTCTAAAATCCAGGCTGAACAAGCAAATTCACGAATTTTAGACACACCAAATGAGATCAAGGGTCAGTTCCCACAGCTCCAAACAATCAAATCCAAGATTTCTAGGGCTAAAAAACAACTTTGGGCTGTTGTTTGGGAATCTAGCCGTATGCACCCAGACAGACAGTACACAGGGTACACACAGACCCCCCGATACTAAAAAACCGGCAAACCTGGGAAAAACAGGGACCGCCGCAGGTTGAAAATGGACAGCTAGGGGCAGGAGGGGGGAAGAATGGGGCGGGCAGAGAGTGTTGTTTTGCAACGACTCAAATCAATCCCTGATCACGGCAGATAGAGAGAGAGCGAGAGAGAGAGAGAGAGAGAGAGACGGACAGACAGACAGACAGACAAACACGAACAGACATAGATAGATAGATTGGGGTTGGTCTTTCCGGGGATGTGGGACAATATTACGCGCCGATACTCGCAACGTACGGATGCTGGGGTCAACTGGCAGATGTGTGGCCCCTCCCTTGGGGCAAATGAATGGCACCCCACCCACCCACTGGCCCTGCACTTTACAATCGAATTTTTGGATTTTGGATTTGATGATAGAGTACCTAGTACGAAAAATGGGCCTGATTCATTAAAATATATAGATTTTAAGGCAAAATCTACCCTAAAAACTCTGAATGGCGCTTTTGCAATACGCGGGGCTCTTTTTCCTACAAGTCCAGAAATGCTTAGTAACTAAATAGTAAGCATTCAGTAGTGGTTTTAGTGAAATTCAACTCTATTTCACGTGGAAAAACAATATAAAAAACTTGGAACAAATTTTTAGACGAAATTTTATCGTAAACAAGCAATTTTTGGTCGAAAGAATTATATACTTGTAATTTTTAAGATAGGAATTTGTAAAGCTTTTACGTTTAATAGTTTAGAAACACTTACTCTATTTATATATGAAAAAGTCACGGCCTAGAATATGTTGACTTCCCCTCGATATTGCGAAAAAACCCTAAGACTGGCTTGAAAAATCACAGGATTTGCAGATGTTATCGATTGCCGCTTAAGACAGAAGGAACGACAATGATGGAAGTGAATGTGCTAGGCGAGCAGATCGATGCCGTAGCCCTAGGCACTGTGGCAATGGATCAACTTCCTCGAGATGTTCTCACAAGGATATTTTCCGATTTCACTTACGCCGACCAGACGGCAACGCTATCATTGGTTAGTAACATCCTACCGATGAAATAATTATAATTACCAAGATTTTTTCCAGTTTTTTATGCTGTTTTTAACCTTAGAAATTCTATAGAGGACTTATGAGCTATTTGAAATGTTATGGTTTTTCGTCAAAATAAAAAAGCTGAAAATTTTATTTTTGCGTGCCTTTTTAGTAATAAAAAAAACTTCTAAAACCATATAAAACGGCACTATAAAGCCCCGAAAATTTGGCGAGTGATAGGCCCCACGTCAATAGCCCAGTACCTAAGAATCCAGCAACAAAAATTGGACCTTTTCAGGTGTGCAAAGTGTTCAGTGAAGTGATCCGTGCCATGAAGCCGCACTTCTTCGATTCGATCCCCAGTGAAGTGTTGCTCCGTGTCTTTGACAATTTTGATCTTCGCGAGAGGGCATCGCTCGTCAGGGTAAGTCTAATTTTCCAGGGTTGCCAAAGAAACTGGTAGGTTGACCGTCGTTTCCGTGATCTAATCGTCGAGAAGAGCAGCGGAGTGGCCGAGGTGAACGTGCTCAACATATTCGAGGAGCACATCTGGCTCAACTCGGTGCGCCGCAACTCTTCCCGTCAAAAGTTGGTTCACTCTAGCTTTTACGAGCCGAAAATGAGTAAAAAATCTCGTAATTTTTAGGGTGATTACCGTCGAGAATCCCGATGAGCTGATCAATATCCTGCGATACATCAAGAACGTCAGTGCCGCCAAAGTGTGGTATGAATCGTCAGAATTCGGGCAGCGCGCGATTGGTAATTAATTGATACAAAGAAAATCAATAAAAACTGTTCAGATCAGCTAGCCGATTCGAAGATGAAAATGAGCTGTGTTGATGTCTATCCATATGCACCGGTTCGTTAGCTTTAACACAAAAAATACCTACAAAATTACAGGAGCAAATCCTGGATTATCTGGACCGGAAATTGCCAGAATTGGGGGCGTTGACGATGAGGCCGCATGGGCAAAATGTGTGGAATGGAGTGCGGATGACACAAATGCCGGCTTTCAACGGATTACGCACGCTTATTATGGACAATTTTGATATTGGGGGAGGTATGTTATAATTCAACGACATAATATTACTCCTAGCTACCCATAACTATCTAAAAAAAGTGTTATTTTTACCATAAAACGTTTGGATTTCTAAGCGTGGATTTTTTTTAGCTAGACGCGTTAAAATATAACGTCTATAAAAATAATCAAGTCCAGCAATTTCAGACACCCCGATCGAATTCCCACCGAACGTGACAACATTCGAATTCTCGAATCGAGGCACCCATCACGACCCTCCACAATGGGTTACTGTAGCCGAGAAGCTGTATCAGGTATGTATTCCTACGTTACCGTATCGAGCCCTACCTCCAGATGCCCCTGATCGAATTCCTTGGCTTCTCCCATGCTCGATTCAACACCATTGATGACCTCTCTCGTTTCCTTCGTCTCATTAGTCGAGAGAAACTTGAGCATCTTCGATTTCTGGTTAGTTCTCAAATTATCAACATTTAATTCAAACATTAGGCGTTGAAATTCTGCAAATTCCCGTCGCTTCGCCCGATCGTTGATGGAGGAGAGCCAGAGAGGATGGGATGGAGACAGAGAATGGAGGAGAGAGAACGAGAAAGGGAGAGGGCCGAGAGGGAGCAAGGTTTGTAAACAAAGCTGACTCTTGGCTTTTCGATTTATGCTTCCTAATCCAAAATATATTGTATTTTTATAATTTTCTGTAGTTTTTAATTCCTAGGGAGTTGACCTTTCTGGTGATTTTTCATTCGATTCTATCAGCTTTTTAGCACCAAAACTCCTGTAAAAGACAAAATATAAAAATTGTGAATCGTCTATATGTGAAATTTCCAGCTGAAGAAATCGTAGCGGCCGTGTTGAAAGACCACGAAGGTATCCGTCCCCTTGAAGAACTCGAGGGGATCTCGCTGAGCCTGCAATGGTTGAAACTCGAATTATGCGATGGAAGGTTGTCGGAAGTGATGCACGTCTTCACAAATGTCTGCTGGTAATCAAGTCTTGTCCATCACTTATCAATGCCCATTTCAGCACCCTCCAAATGGCATTGCTGTCGATGATCAACGACCTCGAGGCGTTGCGTGATTTGAATACGGTGGCCCCGCTGCTCGAACGGTTGAATATTTGGACGCATCTATCGTTTCTAACGAAAGCCCCTATCAACTATCCAAAGCCCACGTAAGTAAGATAGGAGTTTGAAAAGGATATACAGTTATTTAAATGACCCGCTAAAACTCGAAGCAACATAAAATAAAAAAATTTATTATATAGATCTGGCCTTATTTTTGTAGCAACTCGTTGTGTCGATTCCAAACATTTTCAGCTCATTCTTCAAGCGAATCCTCCCGTCCCCAGCCCTGTTCAGCATCGTCACCAAGATTGAGGCCTCATTTGCTGATGATCCAGCCTTTTTTGACAACTATTTGATGGTACTTTCAAAACACCTCAATCCTAACTTGGTCATTTTCCAGGCAGGAACATGGCCCCGTGTCCACGAGCTGAAATTGATCAACTGCGACGAGGCGAGCAACGAATTTCTGATGCATATGAACACGGTGGGTCGAAAAGAAGAGAAAAAAACGAATTCGGCAATGCTCAGGACCTAAAAATTTTTTAGCACTCGCTGCTATTGCGCAAAATGATCCTAATACGATGCCGACGAATCACCGAGCAGGCAATGATCCCGTTCGTTGAGCAACTGCATTTGAAAAGCCGCGATATCATGGTGGGTGGATTTCAATCTTAAAAAAACTGGTAAAGGTTGCTTCACGGCAGCGGGGGAGAAAGAGGCCTCGAAAAACAAAAAAAAGTTCCGCAAATCTAGACTCTAGATTCTAGAGTAAGACTGTTAGCGGGGGGAGGGGCAAAAAGTGAGGGAAACCACTTTTTCTCCAATAATTTTACATGACCCTTGAAAGAAATCTAAGCCATTTTTATCAAATTTTACAATATTTTTAGATATAAAAAGCTATAAAAAGGTTTTAAACTACAAAAATTGCCGAATTGGAAAGCTGTACAAAAATACTTATCGGAATTTTCGCATTTTTAAACCGCTTAAAAATTTTTGCTAACTTTCCATCAATCAAAAAACTACTAAAAAACTAAAAAATATATTATCTATGAGGAACAAGTTCTTAAGGCAATAAATAAAAATTGTGCACACTGCCGGCCCCCTGCTAATAGCCCAGTACCAAAAGTGGCCCGAATACACCCTCGCGAATTCAGGTGACATGGAAAGCCGACAAATTGCATCTACGCCCGACGAGCCTATATTTGGCGCTGTGCGCAACACGTGCTGAATTGATGCGGACGAAACGGATGCGGTTGCGGACAAAGGTTGACTTCAATTTCTGGAAACGATACGAAGCTTTTAGAAATTCTCGGAGAGTGACGGTATCGAAGTGTGGATCCAGGATAAGGGGACTGGGAGGAAAGTGACCTTCCGGGTACGTTATACCAACAAGACGTAGAAAATAAAGTTTAGGATTTTGATGACAACGACTCGGGGCGAATTGTGAGCATCAGCGTCCGGACGCCTTTTAGGTAAGTGTAAAACCTAGATAGGAAAAAAGGTAAAATGTCTTTATTTGAGACCCTAAAAAAACTAGAAAAAAACGCTCACTTCTCACCTTAATGAATTCTTTCAGCATCCGGCGAATGGAGGAAGAAGCCCTGGAAAAGGAGAAAGAGCGCGAGGCCCGAATCAAAGAGCTCGAGCGGGAGATGCCCCCTCAAAACCCGCCAGATCCCGTCCCATCCACGTCTACTGTAGCTGATCCTCCTCCAGCGGCTGAGGCTGAAGTGGACGAACAACCCGAAGAGGAAGAGAAACAACCCGAGCAGGACAATATGGAAGCATAATTATTTTTGTCATTTACTATCTCGATCTATGCTCAAAAAGCCATAATATAACGTTTTTGACGTCAAACCCAGCCAATTCCTAGTGCAACTGTTATAGATTTTGTCCGATCGTGTGATTTTCGCTAGTCCACCTAGAGGTTGCCCGATAATTATCACATAAAAAGCATTTGCATAACCATTCAGATCTGTGTACAGTGATTGACCCCTCTTCGAAAATTGAAACCCCGTTAAAGGTTACAATAAGCTCGTTTGGATACGCCGGTAAACGTCCGCGGAATAGCAAATAGGGTCGTAGGTCGCCGCGGAGCAAAATCGAAACCTCGGCACCCGCCTATGGCGTTTCGCCCTGGCCTGGCGACGTCGGGGCCGGGGGCGAGAGGGCCCGGGTTGCGCGGCTGGCCCTTGGTCTTCTCCGACCGTGTGATTTTCGCTTTTAGTGTACCTTTAAATTGCACAAACACTAACTCGAAAACCAATAAATTATTCTAAGAAAGCCCTATCGGGGAAACAAAACAAAACAAAAACTCGAAAAAAGCAACAAAATAATGACCGGAAGTTGATGCGTTTGTAAAGAAAAAAAAAATTAAATAAATGGTGAATATATTGGAGAAAGGAAACTTAAAAATAACTGAAAGCGACAAAAAGGCATAATCGCTTTCTGAATAGACAAAAGAGCAACTGAGTTTCCGCCTCCGCATCGTGAAAACAGCTAAAAACCTTTTTCTAAAAAGCTTGCCTCCTCTGGAAGAAAGCGGTAATTGGGAGAACGTGGTTGGGGGTAACGAGATACGCAGAGTGGAGACTGCCCCCCCCCCTTTGATTATCATTTATTCAAGTCGCAACATGGCCAATTGGGACACCTGATGCTCTTCCATTCCCCTCAATTCCTGTCTTTTCAGAGACCCGCTCGATTCCTGCAAATTTTTGGACTTTCAGTGCTTTTGTAATATCCGGGGGGGAACAATTTTTTCTGTAAGTCCAGAAATTCATGGTAAGGTCACGGTAATTATATTAATAGTGTTTCAGCAAAATTAACTATATTTAAAGTCGAAAAACTACAAAAGCAGCTCAGAAAAAATTTTTAGATGAAATTTTGGACGAAAAATTTATATTGTTTGTATTTTAATGAAATGTCACAAAGTTTTTGCGCTTGGGAATAGTAAAAATGGCTAAGAAATCTTTATTCCACTATTATATTTGAAAAATTTAATCCTTAGAAAAAAGCTGGTCCCCCGATAATGCGAAAGAACCGCACTTTCTCGTGTATTTTTCCCTGCTTCCGCTCGATCTTCGGCTTTCAATGCCGCATTTCTCGAATGTTGCGCTTCATCGAAAGAACAGCAAATTGCTGCAGTTTTTTGGGTCCTTTGGCGTGAATAAGAAGCTGGGCTGATTGGCCGGGCAGCATTTCAGAGAAATAATTGGACCGAAATGGTGCGCAGGGATAATTGGCCACGTGCCGAATTCCTAAAAAGGTTTTTAAAGAACTTCCTACAATCTAGCATAAAAGGGGCCGAGTGGAGTTCCTTCTTTTAGCTGCTAAAGTCTCCGAGACCTGAAATTTAGTGGTAAATTTAGGGTCACAGCAAACAGCTACAACTAGCAAGATGGTACAAATGAGTGTGGTAAGCAAAATTTAGAAATAAGATACTTCTTTTACAGATTACCACAAATCAATCCCTGCTCGATCGACCTCTTCATCGTCCTCGACTAGGCATCTTTGTCTATCTGCTTTGTTTCTCGGCCGTAATCGGTAAGCATTAGCCTGAGATTCAACCACTATCGGTGTCCAGGCGGCTTTTTGTTCGGCTATGACACGGGCATTGTCTCTTCTGCCATGCTTTTCGTCCCTTCCAACGGCGGGATGAAGCCATTGTCTTATGCTTGGCAAGAAGTCATCATATCTGTTACGCCAGGTAATACAGACATCAGGGATACTTGAAACCAACGGTACTTACACTTTAAATAAGGTATCTCAACGAAAAAGACGCAAAACCTCAAAACCTGCCATCTGTCGCCATTCAAACTTTTTTCTAGGTTTCGCTGCCGTCGGGTCATTATTAGCGGGCCCTGGGGCCGATCGTTTTGGCAGGAAAAAGGTTGGTGAAAACCCGGAATACCCTGGCAAAATCGTAGATGATCATCGGTTCTTCCTTCGTTTTTACCGTCGGTGCCCTGGTTTGTGCGATTGCCGTCGAAAAGATCATGCTGACGGGCGGCCGCATTCTGCTCGGGCTGGCCATCGGTTTGTCGTTTATCTTTGAGTTTTTAGCCGGGCAGTTATCTCCAAAAATCATTTTTCTCCAAATAATTATTTATGAAATCCTGAAACGTACCAAGTAAAAAGCGAGATTTCAGGGTTTGCGTCGATGATTGTGCCGCTGTACGTGGGCGAGTCTTCGCCGGCCCACATCCGAGGAACACTCATCACCGGATTCCAGCTGCTCATCACTTTCGGACTTTTTGCAGCGAATCTGATCGCTGGCGTCTTCAGCTACATTGATCCCACCTCTATCGGATGGAGGTGCAGCTGTCTTTGCCTTTTTCACCACGGTTTTTTCAGGTTGATGTTCGGGTTTGCGGCAATCCCGGCTGGTATTCAATTTGTCGTCTTCTTTTGCATGCCAGAAAGTCCTCGGTGGTTGTATGAACATGGCCGGATTGAAGATGCCAAAAGTGTAGGTATTTTCGTCAATTTCCAACGAAAACCAATAGCACCTAATTGTGAAAATCTCAAAGCGCACCAGCCAAAAAAGACAAAAGGTGCCATAAAAAATCAAAGCGACGGCTATTTACCCTTACGCAAAAAACCCCAGGGACACTTATTAATTTAAGAATTTTAGGTGCTAGACAAGATTTACAACGGCGACAAAGCTTGGATTGAATACGAAGTGGCCGAACTGACATTAGCCGCTGAAAGGGGACGCAGTGTCCCTCAAGAAACTGGTTAGTGCCATCAAAAACGGATACCTCATCCCCTCGAGCCACGAATTTCAACCAATACCCAGGTATGGCCCTGCTATGGCGGATCTTCACGACAGCCCACGTGCGAAAGGCGCTACTTGTCGGCTGTGTATTACAGGGCTTCCAACAATTATCCGGAATCAACACCATCATGTTAGTGATAACTTGAATTAAATTTAACAACAACCTATAGGTATTACACGGGAAAGATTATCCAATCAGCCGGCGTCAGCAGCAAGCACGCGACAATATGGATTTCAGCTGCGATCTCTGGTTAGTCGATTGATTTTTGACCATCCTCAATCGACAGCCGTCAACTTTTTGTGCACATTTTTGCCACTGTATATGGTGGATCGATGTGGTCGACGGGTGCTGCTGATCGCGTCTGTGCTTGGCGTGGTCAGTCTATACTTCAAGAAAATTGTGAAGTCCTAACTTACCCTCGCAAATCCAGGGAGCCACGTTGCTGGCGATGGGTGGCGCCTTTCTGGCGATAAATCGAGAATCCGATCTGGTGATCAACAACTATACAGCGTCCCCTGTCAATCATATTGCCCATTGCAAAGCGTATAGGTGAGAATATTAGTGTTAATACCCAAATTTCTTCAGTAACTGTGACTACTGCGTGACGGATGAGCGATGTGGCTTTTGCAAGGCGAAGGCAGCTGATGCCGGTTAGTTTTGACGCATGGTTACGGGAATTCGCAGCTTTAGGCTATTGCGTGCCATTTTCAATGGATACTGACGATCGTTCATTGACGGGTCCATGCATTAATGGGACAGAGCATGGCCGAGGACAAGCATATCAATGGAGTCCGTCTTTCTGCCGTTCCGGCCTGACAATGCTGCCAATCGGCCTGATGATCCTGTATTTGGGGTTCTTTTCTATTGGTGAGTGCTGATCAGGGATCAGGGAACAAAGCTAAAGAGCCATCTGTTAACCATTTTTTTAGGTTTTGCCCCATTACCGTGGGTACTGAACGCAGAATTCTACCCGCTATGGGCCAGATCGACTTGTGTGGCAATGGCCACAGCTGCGAATTGGGCCTTCAATCTGTTGATCTCTCTCACATTCCTCTCACTTTCACAGGCACTCACCAAATATGGTTCGTAAGAATGGCGCTTGATCAAATCTCCGTTATTTTAGGTACATTCTGGCTGTACGGGGGTGTGACAGCAATTGCCCTTATTTTTGTGGTGATAGCAGTGCCGGAGACAAAGAATTGCTCGATTGAAGAAGTAAGTGCAACAAAGAGAGGCAATATCAATGAAAATTATAATTCTTAGGTGGAGCGTTTATTCATGTCAGAAGAGGAACGGATGAAGCAGAATCGTCCCATTGGCTATCAAAAAAGATCACAGTCCGTCGACGTCGTCTTCTAACTTGACGGAAAAAGCTACTATTTGTCATGTCAATAAAAAAGAGGAATCTATTAATGTCTAGAGGATGCAACAAACTATCTGATATGGAACTTAGGCTTAGGCTTAGGCTTAGGCTTAGGCTTAGGCTTAGGCTTAGGCTTAGGCTTAGGCTTAGGCTTAGGCTTAGGCTTAGGCTTGGGCTTAGGCTTAGGCTTAGGCTTAGGGCTTAGGCTTAGGCTTAGGCTTAGGCTTAGGCTTAGGCTTAGGCTTAGGCTTAGGCTTAGGCTTAGGCTTGGAGCTTAGGCTTAGGCTTAGGCTTAGGCTTAGGCTTAGGCTTAGGCTTAGGCTTAGGCTTAGGCGTAGGCTTAGGCTTAGGCTTAGGCTTAGGCTTAGGCTTAGGCTTAGGCTTAGGCTTAGGCTTAGGCTTAGGCTTAGGCTTAGGCTTGGCTTGAGGCTTAGGCTTAGGCTTAGGCTTAGGCTTAGGCTTAGGCTTAGGCTTAGCTTAGGCTTAGGCTTAGGCTTAGGCTTAGGCTTAGGCTTAGCTTAGGCTTGGCTTAGGCTTAGGCTTAGGCTTAGGCTTAGGCTTAGGCTTAGGCTTAGGCTTAGGCTTGGCTTAGCTTAGGCTTAGCTTAGGCTTGGGCTTAGGCTTGGGCTTAGGCTTAGGCTTAGGCTTAGGCTTAGGCTTAGGCTTAGGCTTAGGCTTAGGCTTAGGCTTAGGCTTAGGCTTGGGCTTAGGCTTAGGCTTAGGCTTGGCTTAGGCTTAGGCTTAGGCTTAGGCTTAGGCTTAGGCTTAGGCTTAGCTTAGGCTTAGGCTTAGGCTTAGGCTTAGGCTTAGGCTTAGGCTTAGGCTTAGGCTTGGGCTTAGGCTTAGGCTTAGGCTTAGCTTAGGGCTTAGGCTTGGCTTAGGCTTAGGCTTAGGCTTAGGCTTAGGCTTAGGCTTAGGCTTAGGCTTAGCTAGGCTTAGGCTTAGGCTTGGGCTTAGCTTAGGCTTAGGCTTAGGCTTAGGCTTAGGCTTAGGCTTAGGCTTAGGCTTAGGCTTAGGCTTAGGCTTAGGCTTAGGCTTAGGCTTAGGCTTAGGCTTAGGCTTAGGCTTAGGCTTAGGCTTAGGCTTAGGCTTAGGCTTAGGCTTAGGCTTAGGCTTAGGCTTAGCTTGGCTTAGGCTTGGCTTAGGCTAGGCTTAGGCTTAGCTTAGGCTTAGGCTTAGGCTTAGGCTTAGGCTTAGGCTTAGGCTTAGGCTTAGCTTAGGCTTAGGCTTAGGCTTAGGCTTAGGCTTAGGCTTAGCTTAGGCTTAGGCTTAGGCTTGTAGCTTAGGCTTGGGCTTAGGCTTAGGCTTAGGCTTGGCTTAGGCTTAGGCTTAGGCTTAGGCTTGGCTTAGGCTTAGGCTTAGGCTTAGGCTTAGGCTTAGGCTTAGGCTTGGCTTAGGCTTAGGCTTAGGCTTAGCTTAGGCTTAGGCTTAGGCTTGGCTTGGGCTTAGGCTTAGGCTTAGGCTTAGGCTTAGGCTTAGGCTTAGGCTTAGGCTTAGGCTTAGGCTTAGGCTTAGGCTTAGGCTTAGGCTTAGGCTTAGGCTTAGGCTTAGGCTTAGGCTTAGGCTTAGGCTTAGGCTTAGGCTTAGGCTTAGGCTTAGCTTGGGCTTAGGCTTAGGCTTGGGCTTAGGCTTAGGCTTAGGCTTAGGCTTAGGCTTAGGCTTAGGCTTAGGCTTAGGCTTAGGCTTAGGCTTAGGCTTAGGCTTAGGCTTAGGCTGCTTAGGCTTAGGCTTGTAGCTTGGGCTTAGGCTTAGGCTTAGGCTTAGGCTTAGGCTTAGGCTTAGGCTTAGGCTTAGGCTTGGGCTTAGGCTTAGGCTTAGGCTTAGGCTTGAGCTTAGGCTTAGGCTTAGGCTTAGCTTAGGCTTAGGCTTGGCTTGGCTTAGGCTTAGGCTTAGGCTTAGGCTTAGGCTTAGGCTTAGGCTTGGGCTTAGGCTTAGGCTTAGGCTTAGGCTTAGGCTTAGGCTTAGGCTTGGCTTAGGCTAGGCTTAGGCTTAGGCTTAGGCTTAGGCTTAGGCTTAGGCTTAGGCTTAGGCTTAGGCTTAGGCTTAGGCTTAGGCTTGGGCTTAGGCTTAGGCTTAGGCTTAGCTTAGGCTTAGGCTTAGGCTTAGGCTTAGGCTTAGGCTTGTGCTTAGGCTTAGGCTTAGCTTAGGCTTAGGCTTAGGCTTAGGCTTAGGCTTAGGCTTGGGCTTAGGCTTAGGCTTAGGCTTGGCTTAGGCTTAGGCTTAGGCTTAGGCTTAGGCTTAGGCTTAGGCTTAGGCTTAGGCTTAGGCTTAGGCTTAGCTTAGGCTTGGGCTTAGGCTTAGGCTTGGGCTTAGGCTTGTGGGCTTAGGCTTAGGCTTAGGCTTAGGCTTAGGCTTAGGCTAGGCTAGGCTTAGGCTTAGGCTTAGGCTTAGGCTTGTGCTTGGGCTTAGGCTTAGGCTTAGGCTTAGGCTTAGGCTTAGGCTTAGGCTTAGGCTTAGGCTTAGGCTTAGGCTTAGGCTTAGCTTAGGCTTAGGCTTAGGCTTAGGCTTAGGCTTAGGCTTAGGCTTGGGCTTAGGCTTAGGCTTAGGCTTAGGCTTAGGCTTGGCTTAGGCTTAGGCTTAGGCTTAGGCTTAGGCTTAGGCTTAGGCGTAGGCTTAGGCTTAGGCTTAGGCTTAGGCTTAGGCTTAGGCTTAGGCTTAGGCTTAGGCTTAGGCTTAGGCTTAGGCTTAGGCTTAGGCTTAGGCTTAGGCCGGAGGCTTAGGCTTAGGCTTAGGCTTAGGCTTAGGCTTAGGCTTAGGCTTGGGCTGAGGCTTAGGCTTAGCTTAGGCTTGGAGCTTGGCTTGGCTTGGGCTTAGGCTTAGCTTAGGCTTAGGCTTAGCTTGTGGGCTTAGGCTTAGGCTTGGGCTTAGGCTTAGGCTTAGCTTAGGCTTAGGCTTAGGCTTAGGCTTAGGCTTAGGCTTAGGCTTAGGCTCAGGCTTGGGCTTAGGCAGGCTTAGGCTTAGGCTTAGGCTTAGGCTTGGGCTTAGGCTTAGGCTTAGGCTTAGGCTTAGGCTTAGGCTAGGCTTAGGCTTAGGCTTAGGCTTAGGCTTAGGCTTAGGCTTAGGCTTAGGCTTAGGCTTAGCTTGTAGCTTAGGCTTAGGCTTAGGCTTAGGCTTAGGCTTAGGCTTAGGCTTAGGCTTAGCTGCTTAGGCTTGGGCTTAGGCTTAGGCTTAGGCTTAGGCTTAGGCTAGGCTTAGGCTTAGGCTTAGGCTTAGGCTTGGGCTTAGGCTTAGGCTTGGGCTTAGGCTTAGGCTTAGGCTTAGGCTTATGGTTTAGGCTTAGGTTTGTTAGGCTTGGAGCTTAGGCTTGTGGGCTTAGGCTTAGGCTTAGGCTTAGCTTAGGGGCTTAGGCCTTAGCTTTAGGCTTAGGCTTGAAAGTCTTAGGTTTAGGTTTTAGCTTAGCTTTGGCTTGTAGGGTGAGGCCTTAGGTTTAGCCTTAGCTTGAAAGAAAGCTTAAGCTTAGGCTTAGGCTTAGCTTGGCCTAGGCTTAGGTCTTAGGCTTAGGCTTGGGCTTAGGCTTAGGCTTAGGCTTAGGCTTAGGCTTAGGCTTAGCTTGGCTTAGGCTTAGGCTTTAGCTTCAGGCTTAGGCTTAGGCTTAGGCTTGGGCTTAGGCTTAGGTATTAGGCTTAGGCTTAGGCTTTAGTGCTTGTGCTTAGGATTAGGCTTAGGCTTAGGCTTAGGCTTAGGCTTAGGCTTAGGCTTAGGCTTAGCTTCAGGCTTAGGCTTAGGCTTAGGCTTGGGCTTAGGCTTAGGCTTGTGCTTAGCTTGTGGCTTTAGCTTAGCTTAGGCTTAGGCTTAGGCTTAGCTTAGGCTTAGGCTTAGGCTTAGGCTTAGGCTTAGGCTTAGGCTTAGGTTAGTTTAGGCTTAGGCTTGAATAGGCTTAGGCTTAGCTTAGGCTTTAGGCTAGGGCTTCAGGCTTCCAGGTTTTGCCTAGCTTCCAGGGCCTGAGGCCCAGCCTGTGCCTTCCAGGTCGTGCCAGGCTTCCAGGCCTGTACCAGCCCAGCCTAGCCTGTGCTCAGCCTAGCCTAGGGCCTAGCCTGTGCCTAGGCCTGTGGGTCCAGCCTAGGCCTGGTGGCCTGCTTCAGGGCCCAGGCCTACCAGGCCTCCAGCCTTGCTTCCAGCCTCTCCAGCCTAGCTCAGGCTCAGCCTTAGCCTGTGGGGCTCATTTCCAAAAAGCAGGCTCAGGCCTGAAAACACCAGGCTCAGGCTTCCAGGCCTGTGCTTCAGCCTGAGGCCTAGGCCTGTACTAGGCCTTCCAGGCTCAGGCTCAGGCCTTAGGCCTGAGGCCTAATTTCTTCAGGTTTATTATTTGTTTAGCTTATGGGGCTTGCTTATTAGGCTTAGGGCTTAGGCTTAGGCTTTAGGTTTAGTTTAGGTTTAGGTTTAGGCTTAGGCTTAGGTTTAGTTTGTAGTTTAGGTTTGTTTTAGCTATTTTAGGCTTCAGGCCGCCTGCCTGCCTGCCTGCTCTCCAAGCCCAAGCCTACCTGCCTTGGCCCAAGCCTGGGCTCCGCTTCCGCCTGCCTGGGCCTGCTTCCAAGCCTGCTTCCAAGCTCCGCCCAAGCCCAGCCTGCCTCCGCTTCCGGGGCTTCCGCTTCCGCTTCCAAGCCTTAAGCCCAGCCTTGCCTGGCCTGCTTCCAGTCTAGCCCAAGCCTGCTTCCGCTTCCGCTTCCGCTCCGCTTCCGCTTCCGCCTGCCTAGCCTGCTTCCGCTTCCAAGCCTGCCCCGGCTTCCGCCTCCGCTTCCGCTTCCAAGGGGGCCCAAGGCCTGCTTCCGCTTCCGGGGGGGGTCCGCTCCGCCTCCTCCAAGCCTGGGGGGTCTACCTGCTCCGCCTGCCTGGCCTGGCCCCAAGCCCCTGGCCTAGCCTGCTTCCGCTTCCGCCTCCGCTTCCAGTTTCCTCCGCTTCTGCTTCCAATCCAAGCCCGCTTCCAAGCCTGCTCTGCCTGCCCAAGCTTCCGCTCCGCCTGCCTCCGTCTATCCAAGCCTGGGGGGGGAAGCCT